GTGAATCTGTCAATATCCATGAGGCTGCAACCCAAATGGTGGACACTGTGGCCTCTGACTCAGAAACTGACGATGAGGGCGTCTATGGTGCTTGCGCAGAAGTACCAAGGAAAATGGATGACATCCATGATACAAAGACACAGATGCTTGAAGCACCCACAGACATAGATGATGTTGGGGAACCAGCTTCCTCCTCGGTTGAAAGCAAAACTGCAGGTAAATCTGTTAATATCCATGAGGCTGCAACCCAAATGGTGCATACTGTTGTGTCTGACTCAGAAACTGATGATCGGGGAGTCTATGTTGCTGGTTCAAAAGTACCACAAACTAAGGATGACATTCATGATGCTAAAACTCCAACACTTGAAGAAGGTACACAAAAAAATAGCACTGAAGATTTTGCTTCTTCGTCAATTAACGCCAAAAATTTTCAGGCTAAAAAGTGTAGCCCTAAAAAGAGGTTGTCTCTATGTAGAATGAAGAAGAAAGATACAAGTAGTGCTGCTGCTTCTCATTCAACGGTAACTCAAGGAAACACTGTAAATGTTATTGATCCCGAAGAAGATCTGTTTTCTGCAGCTACCCAGTTGATACCTCAGCCTGTTGTAAACCATGGTTCTTCTGGGGGCACAGATGAAAAAGATGATTTCTGTTCTGCAGCTACTCAAATTTTATGTAGTCCTGGCCGTAGGAAGTCTGTACGTGGTGGTCATTCTAAGACTGGAGAAGATGCTTTTACTGCAGGTACAAAAACTTTACCTCATCCACAACAAGAGATGTCTGCACCTAGTGTTGAATCTGTGGTAAAAGAGGATATTTTCACTGCAGCAACTCAAATTTTGCCTAGCCCTTCTCGAACAAAGCCTTTAGCTAATGGTCAGTCTAGGGAGGAAGAAGATATTTTCAGTGCAGCTACTCAAATCTTGCCTAGTCCTGGTCCAACGAAGTCAGTTTCCTGTGACCAAGAAAAGATCTGTATTGCTGCTACTGAAGTTTTATGCAGTCCAAGTAGTAGCAAGTCTATACCTGCTGAGAAGTTAAATGTGAAAAATAGAACATCATCCAGCCCAAGTGCAAAGAAGATTGAGATAGTAGCAATGCCTGTGGTCTCTAAAAGCCCTGGTAAAATTCCACCTACTTTAGCTCTTAATCTCAACACAAAAGCAGAACAGAGAGAAGTGTCAGACCAGATAGATGAGCACCCTCCTAAAGTTTCAAATATAAGACAAGTCAACAGAACTAGAACGACACGCCAAAGAAGTCAGCCCAAGAACTCGAAAAATTTTAAAATGTTGGGATCGTCTTCTCCTGAGGCTGATATAGAAAACACAAGCTCAGATTCTGTCAAATCTATTGATCATATGATAGATGATGATGATGATACTGACAATATTCATGATTTGGCTGTTAATACCTCAAAGACTCTTCAGAAACCAACCAGTGGTACCAAGAAAGAAAAAATTCTCTCCCCTGCAATGTTAACTGCTTCTCTGAAAGCAGTTAGTCCTATCATTGGCCGAAGCTCTGGAAGAAGAAGCTTATCCCTGTCTCGATCTCGCTGTAGCAATGTGTCCGAGTTTGAAAGTTCAACCAAAGATAAAACTACAGATTTACATTTAAGTGATTCTCAAGCTAGCTCAAGTGCGATTTCTCAACATAGGGTATCAGGAGTGACACCCCTAATCTCTGTGACAAGTGACACGGCAGCTGATCCCCTGCCTTTGGAGAATGGAAGTTTTGAAGTCAAAAAGGAAAGATTGAGAAGAAGTGTCAGGAATAATCAGAATATTGCATTTAAAATGGAAGCAGATGAGAAGCTCGCAAGTAATGACTGTTTATCTGAGGAAATTTGTAATTCAAATGAAATGACTACTTCTATTCTCAAGTTAAAACCAGACGCTGGATCAAGTCGTAAATCTGTAAGTTTTGTAGCATCTAATACAGTGGCATCTATGGAAAAAGTTGAAAAGGACAAAAAGTCACCTAAAAGTGAGAATATTAAGAAGACTTCAAGCAGTTCACTTCCAATTCACATACAATGTGGTAAAAATGAAGTACCTGATGGCAAACTGAATGAGGATCATGCACCACCTCTCGCAAATGTTAAATCCAATAAAACTGGGAAGCAGAAAGGTTATAGTAAGGCAAATCAAGAAACTAGTAACCAGAAATCTGACTCTCAAGACAGTTGTATGTCTGAAAGAATTGCTGAGGGTGAAATATCTGAACCTAATAAAACTACCAATAGGAAATTGAGTCGTGAAAAGAAGCAGCCCGCTAGTCTTGAGATCAAAAAGGAATCAAAGATTAATGATGAATCAGTGGACTTTGCCAAGCCAAAACCTGCCCAGAGAAATCAAAGAACATCTAAAAGGAAGGCTGAAAATGTTCCTTTGACCGAGGAATTATCCAGTCAAACATCTAACAGTTCACAGGAAAGTAGTGCATCAGATATTGGTACAAGAAGGTCAACTCGTGCCAAGAAACAGCGAATCTCTGAGAGCTCGGATGACGGTTCTATTGCAGAATGTCAGGCAAAGAGACCAAATAAATCAAGGAAAGCTAAAAATGCATCAAATAGCTCACTGGCAAGTTCTTCAGAAAGCCTGACTTCCATATCTGATGTTGAACCCCAAACAGCAACCAGAAAATCAAGTCGGTCAAGAAAATTACCGACAAAACTAATTGAGGACACAACAGTGACTACTCAAGAGCAAAGTTCATCTAGAACCACTAGTAGGAAAGGTACACAGAATAATACTGAAGGAGAAAGTATTGAGAAGAAAGAAAGTAGTGTAAACTCAATAACTGATAGAGGGAGAGGTAGAAGATCTAGTAACAAGAAACTTGCTGTTCCAGAAGAAGAGGAAACGAAAGTCAAAGGTGTGAAACGATTACCTGCTCCATTATGTGAAAAAGACAATGTGGCTGGACCTTCAAAAATTTCAAGACGAAGCACCACTTTGAAACCTGTTTTAGAAACCACTGTGGAAAATTCAGTTTTAGATAATAGCTTATTGTCTTCATCATTGAAAAGAGGACAAGATGAATCATTTGCTTCTGATGTTGAACATGAGGTAAAGTTTCCCAAAGGTCGTCGAAACAGTGTTGCTTCAAGCTCTACTAGCCCTCGGAGAAGTCCTCGTCCTCGTCAGGTAAATATAATAAAGATGAAATGTATTCCATATTTTTTACTGATATACTCTTTAGTTACATACATATCTTTCTGTTATTTTAGCAGAGCTTAAAAGGAACGGCAACTAACACTGCTCGTGTGTTGTTTTCATTCCTCAATAATCCAAGACATGAAAGTTTGGTGAAGCAGCTAGGTAAGGATGGATGTAGTATTGCCTATTTATTTGCAAGGATATAATTGATATTACTGTTATTGTGCATTCTCAATAGATTAATACCTTCCATATTTCATTTTTAATTTATCTCTAGGTGGTGTTATTGTTGATAGTGTGGAATCAGCAGATGTGCTAGTGACTGACAAATTGAGGAGGACAGTAAAATTGCTGTGCTTTCTGGGTAGAGGACTTCCGATTGTTGGTCCTCCATGGCTTCTACACTCGAAAGCGGCTGGCCGATTACTTGGTAAGAGATTAAAATTATCATCTGTTTAGATATTGTGAGGTAAAAGTTCTGTTTCTATTACCTACTTAATGACAATTTTATTTTAGACCCATGGGAACACATTCTTACTGACCAAGAGTCAGAAATGAAATTCAATGCTAATCTGAGTGAATCCCTCAAGAAATCTGGACAGAATCCAATTTCGCAAGGATACCACATATATGTCACAAAAAATGTGAAACCAATACCTGAAGAAATCAAAGGTACAATACTTAGTTTGCAGATGTTTGTTCTGAAAGTTTTTGAAATTTGTCTTTATTCCTTTTTATCCTTTCTTTTATTCATTTTCAACTTTTTAGCAATTGTCACTAGCTGTGGTGGAGTTATTTTGCCAAGAGCTCCATCAGCTTGGCCAGCAAATAGCAAAGCTATTTCATGTGTTGAAGATAAAACCACATGGACCAAATATACTAAAAAAATTCCAATTGTGTCACCGGAATGGCTGCTTGAAGGAGTTTTAAGACAGCAACTCAATTTAGAAGACCATCGTTTGAACTAGATCTAACATTTTAAAAATTGATCGTGATTCTGTCCATGTAAATTTCTTTCATGTAAATTATGTTTTTTGTTTTTTTGTATTGTAAGGGGAGTTATAAGAATTGAGATATTAAAAGTGCCTTTACTTAGTACCCAAGTTTATTAACTCTTCCAGCATTGTTCTATATTTCAAGATAACAAATTATTATTTACCATAGGTTTCATAATATCTTGTCAATTTTGCCACCTGGAAAGAAGATTAAGAGATTAAGATAAACAAACAAATTAACTGCACTTTCATTTGGTAAAGTCATGATAAACTAAAGAAAAGTTACTAACAATTTTAGCACTTTATCCTTTCCACCAGATGCCACTCGCATTCCATCTGGGGCCCAGTCAACGGCAAAGACCTCATCTGCATGCCCAGGCAGGTCAAGTTCAAGTTTTAAAGTTTTCATACTCCACACTGTAATTAGATTAATTCATAATATAACACAACTGAACAACACAAGGTAGAAAAATGTAAAGTTATGATTACTAGTTAGTATAACCAAGCTACTTAACTTTCAAAGTAGAATCAGCACTTCCACTAACTAATAGCCGAGAGTCAGGTGACCACCCAACCATATACACTGCCTGCACATGTCCACGAAAAGTTGCCAGGAATCTGAAGAAGTGTTTTAAGATTTACTTAGCCTTAAAATTGTTCACATGCTCACAATTGTAATCACAGGACACTGATACTCACTTGCCGGTTCTCCCATCCCATAGTTTTATTGATTTATCAAACGAAGCAGATGCAAAATATCTTGCATCTGGAGAAAACTGAACTGAATTAATAAGCTGTTGGTGACCTGTCATACGTGCTACAAAAAAAAAAAAAAAGAAAAAAAGAAAAACACTTCATAGAATTTGCTTATTAAGACATCAGGATGAAATTTTACGAGACCAGTACCGATGAATATTTTCGTACCTATTGGCTTTTTCTCTTTCTCAGGGTGCCATAAAAATAAGGTGAAGTCATCTGAGCCACTAACCAGCCTTTCACCTGCCTCTCGCACTATGGTCTGGTAATTTTTTTCTGCTTCCTTTTGCAATGATAATTCTAAAATGGTGAAAGAAGAATAGTAAAAGCTCATTTGAGGACTGGCTAGAAAAAGAGAACGGAGAAAACCACTTACTGTCATTCCCTGTTCCGTGAGGGTTAGTAATTGGATTACAAGGGCCTATTCGTAGAATATAGTCACAATTCAGGGCTAGAGAGTTAACCCAATGAGCATGTCCATCAAGAGTTCGGCAAAGCACTCCCTGTAAAAAATTAAACATCATAATAGTTTTAATAGAATTTTAGTAGAAGATTGAAAAATGATTTTCATGTTAAGATTTCTGTAAGTGGTAGCTTCAGTGTATTTAAGAAACATAAGCCACGCACTTTTTGTTCTATCTAACACCTCCAAAATCACAGCTCAATTGAATGTGCACTTTTCATGCAGTACTGTATTTTCTAATAATTTAGTGTCAAAAACATGAAGTGATGCTTTCCAGGTTCCATAATAGCATTTAGTTAAAGCATGGTTACAAAGTCTTCTTGTTATTTCTCTAGTATTAGATAGCATAATTGTGAACAATAATTACATCTTCAGCACGCCAAACTTTGACAGTTCGATCCTGTGATGCTGAGTATATCAGTCCAGCACCACCCCACACAACACAGCTAACACTTTTGGTGTGTCCTGCTAAGACTCGGACAGTTGTGCCCAAAACAGTATCCCATATACGAATGTCACCATCCTTGGACGAACTTGCAAGCAGCCTACAGTCAGGATTTCTGAAAATAAAAGGCCATTGATATTTTAAGGTGTTGAAATCATTACTACTATATTTTAATCATACTTCCCACATACTGACTTGTGATACGGTTCCCAGCTCAGTGAAGTTACCCATTGTTTGTGTCCTGATAGTGTCCTTCCAACTTGATTCCCTGATTCAGCATCCCAAATTATTATGTGGCCATTTTTACAAGCCGATGCAAGGCGGGCAGAATCAGGAGACCATGCTATGCACAGTACCCAATGCCTGTGACCTGGACCAATCATATTTATGATAAAATAAGTTAAAAGTACAACACTCCTCCCTCAAAATGAAAACATACCATTGCATGTCATGTGAGGAGTTTGAGTTGCTATATCCCAGAGGCGAACTGTTGTATCTCCTGAGCCACTAGCAAGATGCCTTCCATTGGGACTAAACCGGACTGAAATAACAGCCTCGGCATGTCCAGGCATAGAGCTAAAATTAACATATAGATGGAGCCAATAAAGAAAATAGAACTTGTCACACACTTAAGAAAACTTTCAACAATACATACCTTGTACATCTTGTGACTGGACGAACTCTGAAAACAGCTTGTTGCTGGTATATAATATCAAGAACTTCTTCGGTATTTAAATTATCCTTGTCTAACGCATTATCTAAGGATCCTGTAATTTCCTTATCTTTGACCAAGAAAATGTATGGCAAAATTTCATCCTAGTGGAAAACAAAGTGATTAGTAAAATTAAATTGAGATAGTACCACTTCTTACTAACTATTTTGGCATAAAACGAGTGAGAAAGTAAAAATTTACCTGTTGTAAGAGCGCATTGCAGATCAGCTGTAATTTATCACGAGTAATATTTAGAGGCAAATCTAATAAACTTCCTGTCACTTCACCAGCCTCTGACATAAAGCGACAGAGAACTGTCTTGTTTCTGTCAACATCCATTTCTGTGTCTGTCATTCTGAAAAAACAATATATTTTAGAGAAGGTTAATATTGGTAAAAATTTTGTTAGGGCAAGGAAAAATAAGATATGGCATACCTAGTGTTACACTTGAAAAATTCAGATATGTAAAGAGTGCAGTAGGACTGCAATGTCTTTATTATGTGTCAATTTACAATGTGTGTTTGACAACAATCTTCCAAACGCGGAGCAGCATGGGATACAGGTTAGGTACCCCGTAGGACAATTTTACAACGTGACTTTCATGAACGCCTTGTAGAAGATCCACTGATTTCACAACACACCTTCAACTGTTTTTTTTTTTTTTTTTGTTTTTTTTTGCTTCCTCTTTAAAATGAGGACTGTGTACGATAAACAGAAATTATATAATTGTATCCGAAAATATATACAGCAACCATGTATGAAAATAATGCGATGTGAACATTATTTTCCGCTTGTTATTGTTTGTTGTCGTTCCGCTAATCCACTTCCGGTAACTCCCCGCGAAACTTAAAGCATGAAGGAATCTTGTTATTCTTTCATTCAATCATTCAATCAACGCAACGCGGACCAACGAGAATAAATGAGCTTGTGAGTGAGGAGTGAGTAACGATATGAACTTTTCTATATGTTTTTTTAATCCCCCTAAAATGTGTGGGTACGTAGGGTGCCAATTGTTTGCCAATATGCACATCACCATGACAGCTTTTGAAAGTTTTCAGAACATATCACATATGAATTGTAATTGAAATTTAAGTGAAATATCTTGAAATATCGTGAAACTCGTGTACGAACAGCAACAACCTAGTAGGTGGGCAACTTCTTTGACAGCATCGTCTGCTTGAAATGCCGCAAGAGTCGAGAAGATTTAATTAGAAATTGCTCAGACTGTGGAAACATCGACCGAGGGCGAGAACGACTAAACCATACCCTAATAAAAAAGTTGCCTATAAAACGATTCAAAGAGTTACAACTAAAACTAAAAGTCTGTTGCCGCCCTTCGTGGCCCTGTTTGTTTTCTTCAGCTTTACTGCTTTTACAGCCGCCCGACTGCCCACTGCGCCCTCTTCAGTTGATTTGTACAAGTTCACCATCATAAACATCAAAATAGCATTTACGCAGGTAAGTATTTCGTAATGGAATACTTTCCCCTCTAATTTTAATCTACTGTCCTTAAATTTCTCTACGGGAGTGCTCCAATTTTTCTACATCGTCTTGTGAATCTGTTGACTACAAATTTCAAGGATTACGTATCAAAGAAATTAACAAATGGAAGAATCGTATATGTGCTAACAGCTCGTCATGCCTTATTTTGTTATTTATTCTGACCGTCCCACTCGTACTTTATCTTTCCGCTTCTACCAGTCTACACAGGGGTTTTATGTTTGTGTCTGCGTTATTTGGTATTATATAAAGCTAGATCAAATTCAGGTTATGTCACCTTGTTTGTTGTACTTCAATGTCAGCCTTGCGGCGATGGTCACCTGCTGTCTGCTTAGCAATAAAGCCATAACCTCTAAAATGTATACAAAAAAATATAAAATGTATACAAAAAAATATACTAAAAAAAGTTTGAAATCGATGTTGAGTAGCTACTTAACATCCAATTTAGGTTGCATGGAACCCTCAGTATCTAATACAACACATTTGATTTAACGGATTTTCAACTGGTGGGATCTCATTTGTTCATTTCTCAAACATCATCAACTATATATTTTTGTGTAAATATGCTATGTGCAATTAATTAAGATTGTTTCTTGCTTTAGGAATCAAAAATTTGCCTGTCTATAACTTAACTACCAACAAGATGAGTAGTGTACAGTGTCGCTTGGTAACAGCAGGAAAGCTAGTTACCCGCAGTTGTCGTGTCAACCATGGTGAGATCATTTTAAAATTTTACAGGTTTTCATCAAAAATGTTTAGTGCATGTATATTTTTTCCAAGTTTTACATTAATGACCCTATCTTGTCTCAATATATTTTGTAGGTTCACTTTGTTTAACGCAACACCGTAAAGCCTCACAATCAACAATATCTGCTGCACTCAACGTTTCAAATGCGATTCTTCGCCCTGCCACATGTTCTCCTGTTCATTCTGTGTCCGGAGGATTAGGCACAACTCGCTTAGAACACAATAGTGTAGGCTCTGGTGATACATCAGGGCCTAAGAAACCACCTGTGATTAGCAGTGGTTCCACAACAACATCAGACACAGGGAGTGGAAAGGATGGTGGTGGAAATCAACTCTGTTGTCCAAAGTGTGGTGATCCTTGTACTCATGTTGAAACATTTGTTTGTAAGTCTGCTTTACAACTCTGCTCAGATACATGCAGTTAAATTCATGATTGTGTAAGCTTATAAATACATATGCTGTTTGTTCCAAAGCATCCACCAGATTTGTGAAGTGTGAGAAGTGTCACCACTTTTTTGTTGTCTTGTCGGAGCTGGACTCCAAAAAAACTTTGAAGGAGCAGCAAGGAATGCGTGAAGATGCTAAAGCAGGAGTATCTAGAAAACCACCTCCCCCACCCAAAAAGGTTTGCAGTCTGCCTGATTTATTTGACAGTTCTTGAAATTATAGCTATCTACAACTGTTATTTGAAATTTACAGATATTTGCTTATTTAGACAAGCATGTTATTGGTCAAGAGCATGCCAAAAAGGTTTTAAGTGTTGCAGTGTACAACCATTACAAGCGTATCTACAATAACATTCCTGTTGGAAGTCAGCGTTCAGATCCTGCTGTTCTTGAGCAGTCTTCACACCAAAATTCTTTAAACCATCGAGGTATAAGGGAATCATAGTTTCTCATATTTAGCTATCATGTTTATAATTTCTATTAATTAAAAACTAAAATTCTACAGACCTCCTGCATGTGAGTGGAGTTGGGTCAACATCATTTGGAATGGGATTTCAACAGCCCTTATCTCAAGATGCTGAGCCGAAGAAAAGTCAAAATGGGAATGTGAATAGTGGGTCAGATATATTAGACAGTAATTCACATGATCTTCGCTTGGAGAAAAGTAATATCTTATTACTAGGCCCCACAGGATCAGGTGTGTATTGTGTGTAAAATATTGTCACATAGTATTTATTCATCAGGTCTATGTAATTGAACTAAGTCTTTGACTAGTTTTTATGACCAAGTTTGTCCAATTTATAGGAAAGACACTATTGGCACAAACAATTGCTCAATGTTTGGATGTTCCTTTTGCTATTTGTGACTGCACTACTCTCACTCAAGCTGGGTATGTTGGAGAAGATATTGAAAGTGTTATTGCCAAGTTACTACAAGATGCCAATTACAGTGTTGAAAGGGCTCAAATGGGTAAGCTACTCATCAAAAAACATTACACGTTTATCAATGGCTTGAATCATGTATTGCAATTTTTTTGAACCCACAAATTTTAGGCATAGTATTTCTGGATGAGGTCGATAAAATTGGAGCAGTACCTGGTATTCACCAGCTGAGAGATGTTGGTGGAGAGGGAGTTCAGCAGGGTATGCTCAAGGTAAAGGACTTTTTATCCTGGCCATAGAGACTTTCATTCCTTTGTTTCACTTACATATTTATCATTCCTACCCTGTATTCTATAATTTTAATCATTGTCTATTATATATCTGTAGATGCTGGAAGGAACCATTGTAAATGTGCCTGAACGCAATTCTCCTCGAAAACTAAGAGGAGAGACTGTTCAGGTGGACACCACTAATATATTATTTGTAGCATCTGGAGCTTACAATGGCCTTGACAGATTAATAAGCCGCAGAAAAAATGAGAAGGTAGTTCCACCTTATCTGAGTGTTTACATTCAATTTCTATTCTAAATATTTTTGAATAACAGTCTGTCTTTATTTTTGTAGTATCTGGGTTTTGGTATCCCTGCAGCAGAATCACCAGGCAGAAGGGCTGCTTCTCTAGCAGACATGGCTAATCAAAGCGCTGCTACTTCAGCTGAAGAAGACAATCAGGAGAAAGATGCATACCTACGACAAGTGGAGGCCAGAGATCTTATTGAATTTGGCATGATTCCGGTAAATTCTTGTTGCCTAAGATGTTTATAAATGTCTTTGTTGGTATCACTTCAGCATATTAAAACAAGATTGTTTTATGTATTAGGAATTTGTTGGGAGGTTCCCGGTTCTTGTAGCCTTCCATTCATTAAACCAACAGCTGTTAGTCCGAATTTTGACCGAGCCTCGTAATGCTATGGTGCCACAATATCAAATGCTCTTTGGTACATTGTCTATTTTTCTCTCTATCAATTGTATGAATTTTCCTTTGCTCCTCAATTTATTCTACTCTTATCTAATTTCAGGAATGGATAAAGTTGACCTTACCTTCACACCAGATGCTCTACATGCTATAGCCAAACTCGCTATGGAACGTAAAACTGGTGCAAGAGGATTAAGAGCTATCATGGTGAGACAGCTTCTCTCTACCTTGTAAATTTTGTTCTTAATTACTCTAAATTTTGGAAATTTTAAATGCCAAACCATGTTTTTTTTTTTTTTTTGTTGGTGTGCGTGTGTATAGGAAACTCTACTACTTGAGCCTATGTTTGAAATTCCTGGGTCAGATGTCATCAGTGTACATATTACAGAAGATGTTGTGTTTGGCAAGAGTGAACCCATGTACATCCGAGGAAAACCAGTAAGTTGTGACACAAGTAAATTCTTCAAAATTTGCATGCTTCCTTCATTTTTAAATGACCATCCCGTGATTTTTTGAAGGGTTGCTTTTTTCTCTTTCATGAGGTCTTGTTTGATCATGCTCCAGTTGATCTCGCTTTCCTGTTACATTATGTTTGTCATTTCATTTTTTCTAATGTATGCTATCTATTTTACTCAAACATCTATTGATATGTTTTTAGGTATCTCAGGATGATGAGGAGCGTGATGTGGATGTCCAAGCTCAGGCTCGTGCTGAAGCCAAGTAATTCATCCTATCCAACTGTCTGTCTGCCTGTGATGCAGGATTCGAGTGCAGCTCCAGGCGAGCGCACGTTTGGGCTCAGCTCCAGCTGTTCTTTCAGCAAACGAGTATGAAGTTGGTTGCTGAAACACCAAGAGGTGAGATGATTCATCTCTAAATATTGGGTTATCTCTGTGATATGTTTAGCATAAAAACAAAACAGGCAACAATTCCTCTACTTTATATAAAGCCCTCGTTGGAAACTCAACCAGACAGTTTACATAAGCTTTCAATTACATTTTCATGATATTCTGTTAACAAATAATAAATAAAACAAGTACACTTATTAAATAGTGTGCTTTTAAATGCTCCTTTTTGGTTCAAATATCAAAAAGCTTGAACTATTGACTGTAGTGTCAACAACGTTTTCTTCTACATGATTCTGTTCCATCTAAGGTTGAAATAGATTGTTGGGAAGAATGTCATATATTTCAACTGCTTATAGTAAGCCAATTTGTTTTTGTAACTTATTTATTCTTTAATATGTGTATTTCTGCTCTAAACTTAATTCTAATTTGGAATTCAGTATACACATGCTAAGGATACAGAAAGTTTGGGCATCCTTCATCTTTGGTGATGGAGTATGATAGGGCTACGTAGTAAATACGAAGTTAATAATAAATGAAATGATTTATCATTTTTTGTCATGATGGATTTGATCTATCTAGGCTCCACAATGTCTAAGCCTCATTAGTAATCTTTTTCTAAGGGCTCTGAAATTTGTATTAGTGTGTCTTTTAACAAATTTATTGGTTGAAGTCTGTTGAAGGCAATACTGATCTCTGTACCTGTGGTTTTGAAGGTGGGTGAAGTCATCCACTCACATTAACATTTGCTGTTTAACTGTCTGGCGAAGCCTTGGGTCCTATAGCGGGCAAGCTATAAGATTAGAGAAGTTTCATCTCTTTCTATGTGACTGGCTGAGGTAGAGGGGTGCAATTTAATGCTTTGAGGGACAGCCTTGATTTGGAAGTTCGAAGGGATCTTGTCTTGTATGGTATATTGCAGTAAAGCATTTGAAGTGCACAAACTTCTTATCATTAACATGTTATGTCCTAGTTTCTACTATTTGGTTTTCAAGTTTAGTATATTGTTTTATGTATATATATATAACCATGTATGAAGAGTTTAATTTAAATAAAGGAAAAAACAAAATGAATTGTGTACAACCTATTTGTCAATTGTGGACAAAGGTATCAATGCCTCAAGTGTCCTTGCGCAGGTGGGGAAGGGCAGGGGCGAGCGCCGAGCTCTAGGGGTACCCTGTGCCTGGCGCAAATGTTTTGTGTGGTGCTGTACTTCATGGAGATAAGCATAGAGGTTTATGCCATCTACTGGTCATTAACGGGTCACGCGCATGCAGTTATGTGCACAGCGGAAACTCACCTACTCAACCTGGTAAAAATACAAGGGGCAAAATTGGGCATGTACGCTCATACACGAATTACAACAACCAGAAGGACAATTACAGATAGAACAATTATTAATGATGTAACATTTTTAATTAGAGTAAATAAATACATATAGCTGAAGCACAGCATTTTTTTTTTTTTTTTTTTTTGCAAGGTGCAATGCTTCATCTACTTAATACATTAGGCTTAACCCAATACGTCAGACAAAAACTGGTAAGTCAACCAGTCCAAATTTAACAGAAAACAAAAAACAAAAGAAAAACTTGCCACTCTCCTCAACACAACATTCAACATATCATACACACACACACACACCCAGGATTTACAACAGCCTTACACATAAAGTGGCATTAACTCAAAATACAAGCACAACTCATTGCTATGCTAAACAACAAATTGAACCCCACCAAAAGCTCAATAGTTACATTTGACAATTGGGTTTGTCAATTCTTGAATAAGACAACAATGAGGGGTTGTGCATATACTATGTGACCTTTAGATGGGGTCAAAGAGAGATCATAACACAACCATCATTGGAGTCAATCGCATAGGAGACCCACCCCGGTGTACGTAGCCCCTACGGACCCCAATGATGGACCTGGGACCCCATAGTATTAGTACCACCCTGCCACCACCATCGAAAGGTCTCATAGTTCTCATACTGCTTGAGAAGAAGCAAAAATGTTCATTCAGTTATGACATTTAAGCAAATGGACCCAGGGAAAAAATAAAGTTTATCCAATCAAAAATGCAATCTCACTGACAAGAACATTCACACCTCTCACTAGTGTATACAAATTTGGACAAATTGACAGTATACGTAGATCCCAATTATATATGAATGTGGAACCTGGCAAATTTAAATAGTTTAGAATGACATAACAAAATGTACACAAATTTTATAGTAAAGATTGTTAGGTACTTCACAACAGGTCTTAATATCAACATGTACATTAAAAATCTTAACATTCCTAACAAAAACATTGAGTTAGGAAACCAGTGAGAAAAGAAACAGTACATGGGCTCATAAATTTGAGGCACCAAGCACGAAGAGGCAACAGCTAATGGCATACTGGACAATATATCTAGGAGTAAATTATTGATTTGATTGAGTAACAAATAAACTTAGGCTCAAGACTTGAGACAAGAAAAAAATAACATATGCATCAAACTAGAACAGCTAAATAGATAGCATACAGAATGTTGTACCCTTTAGACTCTTTGAAAGGTAAAGTAAACCTTGTTCAGATTAAAAGCAACACAAAAGCTTGGACATCAAGTAGAAATAAAAAGATCCTTAAAATAAAGTGGTATGTGTACACACAAAGGTGTGACAGAAGAATATGGGTATGTTTGTCAGAATGTGTTGTGTAAGTAATACACTTAAACATTTAGGGTTTTTTAACACGCATAAAATCCCTAACAGTTCTTAAAAGGAAATAGACTAGATACTAAATTTGAATATAACTGCACCAGGTACAAAGGACTGACTTCCAAGTCCCAGTTAAAACCATACCCTAGTCCTCTAATGGGATACCTCTTTCCATCCAAATCAACAACAGAGTAGCAGAGTAAGTTCCTATCTAATTTTTCAATATTGTGTGCGAATCAGAAAATGAGAAGTATTAAAACAGAAACTTAAACAACTACAGTATGAGAAAACAATATTGGTAGATAACATGATACAAAACACCAAAGGAGTCCAGAGGTCAGAGGCAAAATATGTATTGTCTGATTAAAAAATATTTTTAGTAAAGTTGCATATTTCACAAGCATATACTATACATCTATACATCAATTTCTTTCATCAAAAATAAATGAAAAACAGAAAAACGCAAAAGAAAAAGAAAGAAAAGATTTCACTTCAATGTAATATACCAGTCTACTTCACCCCAAATCATACCTCCAAAATACTGGAAACCTAGGGGGAATGTAATTTCCACTGAGAGGAGAGGAAGTCAATCTTACTGTATTATCACAATATAAAGGCAAAGAAAACCTAACAGGAAAGGAACCAGCTATCAAGTCCACATAATCACTTTTCCAACCAACTGGTGCAGTTTAAAGTACCTTTACCTGAAAGTTAGTCTCGTGATGCGCCAATGATGCTCAAGATGTAAATGAAGATGTTGATAATATCGAGATAGAGATTGAGAGCAGCAAAGATGTACTCCTCTGGCGAAATACTGTACTTGTGCTTTCCACCCATCATCATTTGAGTGTCATAGATGAGATAGATCTACAATATAAGAGTTAGAGTTATAACTAGAAATAAATAAGAAGCACTTAACTCATGTAGCTTAGAATAATACAAACCGAAAACAGAAGAGCTCCAGCAGAAGCATATGCAATTTGAGCAGCCTTGTTAGGAATGAATGCAACAATAATGCCAAAGACAAATAGAATGATGACAGCTACAAACAAGGCTCCTCCTAGCACAGTGAAGTCCCACTTGGTTTGGAGAGCAAAGATAGTAAGGGAAAAGCAAACTATGGCAGTGATGCCAGCTGCCATTACAACCTATGAGAGAAAAAAAAACAACAACAATGATAACCAATTAATATAAATGGAGGCTAGGTATTCGAGGGAGAAAGCTTGACTTGGACAACTCATACCTCTTCAGATCTAAATGAGGCTGCAGCTGTGCCAAGCATGAAACTCTCAGCCAATGTAAAGACACCCAGGAAGATTATATTTGTTGGTGCCTTGCGTCGCACTGAGGCACAACATGACATGCAAATTAAGCATACAAACATGACAGCCATTGAACAATAGAATATAGCAATATTGCCATGGACAAATTTTTTGGTGGGTCCATGAAATGTGAATACTGCAATGATAGCAGTTGTCACCAACAGCTGTGCCATCAAAATAAGATACACCTTCCTGAGAGGAAGAAAAAGATCCAGATTACTAGGGTTAGATGAAGAAAAACACACAACACACTCAAAGTACACGAACCACACCTTATGAAACCACGGCGAATACTCTGATCAGAGAAGGAGAATGCAGTATCCTCTCCCATAGGATCCTCTGGATATGCTCCTGGTGCTCCATACATATTTGTCTGAGGTGGTGGTGGGCCTTGACCAAAAGGTGGAGCGTTCGGTGGTGCCACAAAAGCACCATAAGGTGGAGGGCCAACTGGTTGCCCAGAGGGTTGGGGGTATGCTGGATAAGAGGGTTGCTGTGGATAACCACCAGGATAAAACGGTGCAGTTGCTCCTTGAGTTTTGTTCGGATCTGAAAAGGCAGACAATAGAGCAAATCCTTAGTATGAGCGAATCTACATTCAAACAGCAGCAATAGACAAGAGGCCTCAAAAGCTGATAAGATAAATTTCAAGCAAACCGCAACAGGAAATAAGACTGCAAGATGAGATAACGCGCGACCATAGGAGGGGGAACTAATACAAAAATATAATTGAAAAAGAGGAGTTGAAAACATTCATTACCCTGGTCTGGATAGTATCCTGTTTGTGTTGGTTGCCAAGCAGACATGATGAAGTTATTCAAGAACTTTCAGCCCTTAATGCAATCTTCTGATCGTGGCCGTAGCCTAGAAAACACGAAAACTGCCGCGACGATTAGCACAAGAGTCTACGTCAAACCACTACACAATATTCCACAACAAGAAAACTACAGCAGGAAACGGCAAATCCCCTGAAATTTCAAAACAGTTACGATTTACGTATTGCGCAATGACTGAAAACAACGAGTAAGGCGGGCGCGACTGAGCTGGAAACGTCGGGGGGACAAAATGTATGAATCAATACTTTCCCACAGCCATTGCCATCCAATCTTACTTCCTTCGTAGAAGCTACCTACAGACATATGATAGGTTCAAAAGGGAGAAATATTGTGGGGATTTAGAATGGATAGAACAATCGGTTGAAAACAGATAAATATTTAAAACAACCCAGTCTTGATTGATAGCGTTAACGGCAGGTTTAGTACTACGAATTTCACTGTCTAAAGGTTACACAACACGCAGCTTGGCGGCAATGTTTAAAATCTTGAAATGGTGAAGATTGAAAAAAACAAACAAACTAATAAACATTTGGAATACTGCCATGATGGAAAAATTAAGATTAGAAGCCCATACTCTTACATAAAACGCTACTATTGTCTACCTAGCAGCGAAGAACTATCTTCAGCCATGAATAAATGCGAATAATAATAATAATATTTATCAAAACCCGTGTTCTCATGCTATCCGGATGCCATTGTTCTCATCCTCGCTCTTTGCGTCTTCTGTCCATCTGTCAAACTTGATCGTGATGACTGTTAAAAGTTAACTCTTAGCTCACTCTTTGTTGCTCCATTAATCGTGTGGTTTTCATGTTCATCTTGAAAGAGAGTTTACTGGTTCTCCTGGGCACACTGTTAAATGTGGTAAATTGTGATTGTAGGAACTATTTCTTTGCGGCGTAGGATTACTTTATCGAGCGACCGTCTATCTACGTTTAAGTTTGAGCTGCCATCTTGATAGCTCGTTGAGGTGAGAGTTTGTTTTGCGGTGCCTTTGACTTTAGCTTGTGTTCAATTTAATTGAGCTCTTCCACATAAATTTTGTATTCGATGTATTTCTCTTTAGCTTGATTATTTCTGGAAAAACATTTTTTCCTGTTTTTGTTGTGAAGTGCGTTCTATTTGAAACGGGAACTGAAAACCTATTTTTCTGCTTCAGCTACGTTACGCCTACCGGTGTGGAATACTATTGTATTGGGCTTCTATACTTTGACCTAGCAAAGAGCCATGTAAGTAATTATACATTCTACATATTTCGGATTTCCTCTCTATTTTCCCGGAGCTTTGTGCCCAGATTCTCTTCTCTTTTTTCCTATCCTTAACTACGATGGACCCAGAACTAGATCTTCAATAAATCCTGCTGTTTACACCCACAAATTTCAGTTTTATTTTGGTCTCTAGACATATTTTTTAACCATCTAATTTTAATTTTACCTTGCATCTAAAGAATTCTTATATGCAGTAACCCTTCTAATTTAAGAAAACAACAAACTTAACTTGCTGTTTGTTATTATCTGTTAACTGATATTAGCTAGGTCTATTTTTATCCTGGGGAAGGTACCCTAGCTGAGACTTTTGATGCTTTTCAATCTAATTTGTTCTTCATAAGTGCTGTATGGGCAACTCTTTAACCAAGTTTTACAAAAACAATAACAAAAATAAATTTAAAATGTTATACTAGGAGCACTGTTGGCCCTCTGGCCCTCTTTGCTAGTTAGAAAAATTGATGGCTTTCTCCCAATGTCTTTGAAAATATCCACTTTGTCTTAACATAATAAAAGGATTTGTCAGTATTTTTTAAAAATTATTTCATTGATCTGCATGATTACATGAAGTTTTTTTTCACATCAGGAACAGAGACAGAGACCGAGGCAGCTCCAGGGATGGCAGAAGAGGAGGGGGAGGAGGTGGTCGAGATTTTGGTCGATCTGGAGGAGGTAGCCGCTTTGGAGGTGGTGGTGGATTTGGGGGAGGTTTTGGAGGAGGATTTGGTGGAGGAGGCTTTGGTAGCAGCCTCAAGGGCAAGCAGCCTGGAGAACGTCTTCGAAAGCCTAGATGGGACATGAGTACACTTCAGCCATTCAGGAAAGACTTTTATGTTCCCCATCCTACGGTTGCTAACAGGTTAGAAAATATTTGTTGAGAGAAAAGGGTGATGTGTAATTTTGGTAAACATGCTAATACTTTTTACCTGTTTTCATATAGAACTCCTCAGGAAGTAGCCGCATATCGATCCAGTGTAGAAATTACTGTAAAGGGCGTTGATTGTCCTCAGCCAATCATGTATTTTGAGGAGGTTAATTTTCCAGATTATGTCACGGCTGAAATAAGGTATTTATGACGAAATAATTTGTCCCATCTGGTTCTCTCTGTGAAATATCTAATACTTGTTCATCATATGTAGGAAACAAGGGTTTTCCCAACCCACTCCCATTCAAGCTCAAGGATGGCCCATTGCTATGAGTGGCCGAGACATGGTTGGCATTGCCCAGACAGGCTCAGGCAAAACACTTGCTGTAAGTAAAGTTCTAATTTTTTTAAAGTATAAATTTTAGTCATCTTCAGGTCATTTAACAACATTTTTTGCATGTTTACAGTATATATTGCCGGCTGTAGTTCACATCAACTATCAACCAAGGATAGTTCGTAATGATGGACCCATTGCCTTAGTCCTCGCTCCAACCAGAGAATTAGCACAACAGATTCAGCAGGTGGCCACTGAATTTGGATCATCTACTTATGTCCGCAATACATGTGTCTTTGGTGGTGCTCCAAAGGGAGGCCAAGCTAGAGATTTGGAAAGAGGTGTTGAAATTGTAATTGCCACACCAGGGCGCCTTATTGACTTCTTGGAACGTGGTACCACCAATTTGAGACGATGCACATACCTTGTGTTGGATGAAGCTGATAGAATGTTAGACATGGGTTTTGAACCCCAAATCAGAAAGATCATTGAACAAATTAGGGTAATTGTGTTTGTACTTGTCCTCTGGAATATGCTGCTTTTAGGTCTGAACTGCTGTAATTGATTCTTTGCTTTACTCAATTTTCAATTGCAGCCAGACCGTCAAGTTTTGATGTGGTCTGCAACATGGCCCAAGGAAGTTCGCAATTTAGCTGAAGAATTTTTGACAGACTACATCCAGATCAATGTAGGATCTCTTCAACTGTCCGCTAATCATAATATTCTTCAAATTGTTGATGTTTGCCAAGAATATGAGAAGGAGGGCAAGTGAGTTTTGTTTCAATCAAAGCAGTAGTGTAACTGACTCTGTATTATTATTTTCTTCACGGTATATATGGCAACATTATTTCCAGATTGCTTAAGCTTTTACAAGAAATTGCTGCTGAAGCAGAAAATAAAACAATGATTTTTGTTGAGACAAAAAGAAAAGTTGATGAAATAACTCGTGCACTCTCAAGATATGGGTAAGGATTTTTTGAGGTATAACTTTCCTCTCTTTAGGATTTTGTTTTGTGTTTGTTAGCTTACCTTTTTTTGTTCTTAGATGGCATGCAATGGCCATTCATGGAGATAAATCGCAACAAGAGAGAGATTATGTGCTAAATGGTAACCGTATTCATCTATTTAACATAAACATGCTACTAAAATACTTCAGCTTTAAAAAAAAATGTATTTTTAAAAATTATGTTTCAGAATTCAGAAATGGGAAAATCAACATATTGGTTGCAACTGATGTGGCTGCTCGAGGTTTAGGTAAGCCAATCACAAATTCCTTTCCAGTTTCAGCCTATCTTTGTACATTCTTGCACCTTTCTGGATGTCTGCGTGGAAAATTGAGGAGCTTTCACAGGTCGGAGAGTTTGTTACTTTATTGGAATTCAGTCTGACTCTTGTTCCAGTTCACCACCAGAACTTTTTGCTGTGATTATTTATGGGTGGGGTCTGTCTAGTTTGTAAGAGTCAAGAACTGTTTTCTGTCTTTACATTTCTCAGCAAGTGAAGCACCTGGTGGTAAGACATCTGCAGTCTCATTTCATTCTGAATGTGCACATAGAAATTTAAATCCCATGATAATGATCGATCATTTATTGGGACACCTCAGTACCTATTCCTAAATTTTGGAACTGTTTAATTACTTAACGACGATTTTTGTTTGTGATTTGCTTGTATTGACGACATTGTGACTTATTAGCCTTGTGAAATGATGACTGCAGTTGTGGACATGCTGAACAAAAGTCAGAGTAAGGGGACGGCGCGGTGTTTTCTACCAGACTAGTTGACAAATTGAGTCAAAGCTGATGCCCTGGAGTACTACGCCCAGCTGTGAGTTGTCTTGCTGCTGTGTTTGCGGAGCTGGTCTACTTTAAATCTGACATAAATCCCTCAAGTTCATGCAAGGTAATGTGTGATTGTCATAGTCACACACATTGCAGTTTGGAGAACTTGATGGTGGTGATTTTCATGGTTTCCTTAACAGAAGTTATTATTACGTGTTGTCATTAAAACTCAAGCTAACACTGTAAACATGTTACACTAACCATTAATCAAGGGTAAGAGTGTTAGCTCAGTTACAATTCAGAAAGATCACATACTGTGCTGTAGGGTGAACTTGTACTCATGGTAACAATACAAGCTGAGTCGTCACCATAGGGTTGACCAACACCTCATTTCTCACGGTATCCATTTATTTAGGAGTTGATGTTCGAATATTTTAAGTAACATCTCTCTGCATGGTGTTGGAGGGGTGTGTGTGAGTCTTTTAACAGCTTGGAATTGTGCTCTCTGTAGCGAGCTGTTAATTCCTTCTGTTGGTTCTGAGACTGTGTTATGTCTTATGTTTAGGGAGGTGTGGTACCTTCATCTCTATGGAGCTCAGCTATTTTGCCATGTGAATTTGCCATTCTATTTCACCTATGTCTTTTAAGTGTAGATGATTCATATTTTGAATGTATTTAATTTTTTAACCTAACATGTATCAACAACACAAAATACCATGAAAGGTCAGATTATGTATTTAACAATTATGTCCGCCTCATAGAGATGCTGGTACACATCTCTATGCAATTATAAACAACTGTATTCACGGCCGCTCCGCCAAACTTAAAACTTGCCAGCTCTTAGTGTTAGGTATACATTGGTCACATCATAAAAGTTATTTTATCTTTTATTTGACTAACTTTTTTAGTCTATTGGTGATGTATGAAGGTTTTCCTATCCATGCTGAATATTCTTTTTCTGAAGTGTAGGAACTGTAATTTGCATAAAATCCCAGTATATTTTCAAGAGCCTGCAATGATAATTCTTGGTATGCTGGAAACATACTAAGAATTTCTTTGATTTATCTCATTGCTTAAGTTCAGCTTGGATGTATCAAAGGTAAGGGCAGAGGTTAGTACCCCTCCACCTCTGCCTTTCCCCCTAGATGTGACCTGTATTGTCTGAAGAGCTAAGAGCCGGCTTTGCCTGTCATGAAACAGGCATAAGATGCGTAAGATACAGCAGGTGCAGCTAGTTCTTAAGTGTGCTAGCAGGAACCACTTATGCAAATGCTGTGTTGTGAGTGGGCATCATGTCTTTAGGATATTTGTCAACTATTAACAGAGTCTGGTTGTTTTCTCTTTTCCAGAGGCACATGCAAGATGAGGTGGTTTCACTGTCTGGCAGTGCCTCTGTGCGGTTGAAATGTATTCCCCGCAGCCACACAGGGGATGGGAATCGTAATCCTTGGCTCGTCCTTGGCGCGTTTTTCAAAAGCGATGCCCCACCGTACCGCACCGCACCGTCCAGAGTTAGTTGTCAAGCTCTAGGAGTGTAGTAGGCAGGCATGAACAGGATCCCATGTGGCACGGAGGCTATGTCTCGGAGGGGAGCAACAAGAGAGCGCCAGCTCAGGTAAGGGCAGTCGACTGTGCTGCTTTGTTCAGTTCAGTGGTCGTCGCTCTTGTCGAAAATCTTGGAATTTTGTTTGGTGTTCAGTATCCCACCTCCATTCCATTATTTTTAAATTTATTTTCTGTGTGAAGCCTCTAGCAGACTATGCCTTTGGTTGTTTCAGTTTTTAGGTATCAAACCCATAGCTTCGGATGCAATGGTACAAATTTGAGAAATTATCTAGATTTCTTTAAAAGAAAATGACCTCTCTATTTACTTGTCTCTTAAAGCATTTAAAGTAATTCTCAAGAGGAAGGAGAATGTTGTTTCTTCACAAAATTTGCAGGATTCACATTTATTTTATGAAGCAACTTAATTTTTCAATTCAGTGAATATACCTACAATTAACTGGACTGTATTATGAAGACCAGCCATTCGGTTCTGTGTGTTTTATCTTTATAAATCTCTAATCAAAACTTTAAAGAAATACTATTAGCTTTGTTTCAGAATCCTGTAACTTTTCATCATACTATTTAGAAATTCCTTTTTTTAACTGGCAGTATGCTTGCATGTTATAAAATTAGGTCCATTACAATTTTTATTAAATTATAATTAATCAAATATCTAGTTAACAACTATCTGTGAGAGTAAGTTGAGACCTATCATGCAGGGTTTTCAATTTTCCTGGGTTTGGTATCTAACATCAAAGCTTTTGCCCTTCCATTGCATTTGAACTCTTAACTTACTCTCAAATTTTATAAAAACAAAGTCATTTTCATCTGCAATCATGTTTGTTCTCTCGCTCTAGAGTTGATGTTATTTTATCCGCTTCACAGATGTTGATGATGTTAAATTTGTCATCAACTATGACTATCCTTCCTCTTCGGAGGACTACGTTCACCGAATTGGTCGCACTGGACGTTCTAGGCAGACTGGAACTGCCTATGCTTTCTTCACTCCTCAAAATGGAAACAAGGCCAACGACCTAATCAGTGTTCTCCAAGAGGCAAAACAAGTTGTCAACCCCAAGCTCTATGAACTGTCAGAGATGTCCAGATCAGGGGCCTTTGGACGAAGTAAGTGACCGGTTAATATATGATTGCTCACGTTCTAGGTAGCAAGGCCTTCATTTAAAAAAAA